TCCTGGCACAACTACTCCACTGGGTTGCATAAGATTTGCAGAGGAAGGGACAAGCTGAAAGGCAGGTTTCTGGCTAGGAAGTGGTGAGCCTTTTTCTTGGCCCTGCCATAGCTGAGAGGAGGTGTTGAAATCATTCTGTGAACTAATCTCTCAAGGATTTAGAAAAGGATTGGGGGAGGGGACGTAGGGGAAAAAAAAAGAAAAAAGAGAGAAGGAAGATGGAGTCCAGGGCAGGCCTCTCTCACATGTCATTAGTTGGCATGTGAGGCTGAGGATGCACTGCTGGTAGTTAGGGTTCTTATCCTCTGAAAGAAAACCATAACAGGGAAACAAAGCAAAGCTCAGCACAGCTGGCAAGATGGTTTTGCACAATAGGACTAAGATGAGGAAGAAGGGAGGGGAAATTGCCAGTTACAAGTAACAATATCACAAGCGACAACATTCAGTATCTTGCAATCAGCAGCACTTACACAAAAACTGACATAGAATAAAATCTGAAAGTGTGTTACTACGTTGGGCAGGGTGACCGGGAGTGTGGTCAAACAGGTAGGCTGCTCACCATCTCAGTGTGGACAGGGTCTACAGCAAGGGTTAGAAGCTCTGCAGCTAAGAGACAAAGGCTGATGCCAGGGTGTGCTTTTGCTGTGAATCTTACCATAGCTGGAAGCAGACCAAAGGGTGGCAGGACTGGTCAAAGGAACAGAATGGAGCTGGTTCAGGAGATAAGAACGATGATCTCCCCTGCAGTCTTTTTAAGACTTGGCACTAAGGAAGTCACTACGCTCAACTGGGGAAACAGAAACCTTCCCCCAGGATTCTTCAGAGCAAGTCTTGCAGTTCCAAAACACACCTCGGCCTTGTTTATTGAACTCATACTTTTACATAAATACTAATTATTGGGTGAAGATCTTTAGAGTGAAGTAAATAAAAAAAGAAAGAAGCATTTCTTGAGATTGTATGATCAAAACTTTCTTTTTCTGTTGAAGGTATGAGCAATTCAGATGTGATGGTTGCTCTTCAGCGCGGGTACCGAATGCCACGCATGGAAACCTGTCCAGCTGAGCTTTACGATATCATGAAAACATGCTGGAAAGACAAAGCAGAAGAGAGGCCAACATTTGATTATCTACAGAGTGTGCTTGATGACTTCTACACAGCAACAGAAGGGCAGTATCAACAACAGCCATAGAACAAAGAACACTTTTTCTATTGACATGGATCATTGGCACAGACTATTATTTGGACAGACTGCTCAAACCAATTACTTCACAAGTTTGGATGTCTTAAGCAAGTGTGGAAGCTGAAATACTGGAGGAAAGAATAATTCTGCAGAGAAATAATAATGGGTTTATTTGGTTAAAACAGTTCCCCTAAAGATTCAAGTTCTCCTTAAATGCTCTGTGTTTTGCATCTGCAGAAACATCCCAAACCAAGCAGGCTTTTTGGGGTGGGGAGGGAGCAGGAAGGAAAGCAATCATGCACCGGTACAGTCTGATAACACCTAAGTAATGGAATACATTACAAGGAGCCCTTTATAAAAGGGGTGAGAAGATGCATGAACACCTGTTTTCAAAAGGAAAGGTCATGAAGGAGAACGCGCGGATTTAAAACATGGCCATGTTCTTAAATCATCTTTTTTGAAATACAGCATATTGTGAAAATTATTTTTATATCCTTGTTATTTCACAGTAGTAGTTGGAGTACTGTTACTGCTTGTAAGACTTTCTAAACAGTGTCATGGTTTCCTCTAAGGAAGGGTTATGTATGTAATTATTTACACTGAAGATGATTCTGGTTTACTGCTGTATTACTCATTCAATTCCAGATACTTCTCAAAGCACTGCAGAGCCATCACAGGTGCAGAAGTGCAATATGAACACATGTGACAGCAGGAGCGGCAGCACACCTAGCTCTGTATGCAACCTTCATCTTCCCACAAGGCCAAAGTCATCACCTGAGGTCCATGGGAAAGCACAGGCTTTTGAAGGAAGTAAATACTTTCATTGCAGTCACTGAGACTGTTACCAGTGAAAATATTTTAATCTTAATTTTTAATCCTCTGATTATTCAAGAATATTTCTTATATTTTGCTGCTTTAATCAACTAACCTCAAATCTGTTTTAAAGCTAAAACTAGCCCTAGCACTATCAAAAACAATTGTGGAAATACGCAATAGGATATCAAGTTACATTGCAGTGACACAATAGGGTTGTTACTCAATATATAAATCTAATTCGTGGAAGTGAGTGCAGTTTGCTAAGCTCTAGATGTTGAATTGTACTATCAAATTACTTACCAAAGCAGCTGAGCTACTGCAATTGCAATGTAACTACAGCATAGCTTCCTTTTTTTATTTTTCTCAAAGTGACACTGGTTCTTACAACTGAAACCCAGTACATCTTTGCCACCCCTCAGGCCAATTATTTAGGTGATGGTACTTTGCAGAAGCTTAAAACCCTTTTGATAAAGCTTCAGTGTGCCTGCAGTTAAAGTTCAACAACATAAATATTCATTGCTCTTCTTTTCCATTGACTTCCTTCAGTCAAACTGTGCAGTTAAAAATGTAAATAGTTTCTATTGTGCGGTGATTTTTAATTTTAATAAACAATTAATCTGAAGCAAGTTGTATGGTAGTAATTTGAGATAAAACAAATGGCTGATGTTCTATGCAGAGGGATAGCCTCATGTGTAACAGGGAAACATCTGTTCATCACCACTAACAAGATTAATTTGCAACAGTAAATATTAACAGATTCTGCATCCATTGAGCTTTGAGAAACTGAAAAGGACCGAACCAGCCCTTTCTACATTCTCACTAGGGTTTCTTTCTGGTGGAGAGGGCAGGAAGATATGTCAGTCCTCACCTGTCCTTTAAAACTGCTTCTCTGAAGTCTTCAGTATAATAGCAACACAGTCCATTGCAACTCTTTGGAAAAACATTACAGTTAAGAATTGGTCAATACTTTGCTACAGGCTTCATTTTATTTTAAGGAAAAAAATAGCTTAAGGTAATGTAACCTTGTCTTTCAAACCATTTCCTGTAACCAGCCAAAGAGCTCTAATAAGTAGGAGGGAACACACAAACAGCAGTTGCTCAGGGAATAGATTACAGCTAGCATTATACAAACTTGCTAACACACACTCCCTGACAAGCAAGACTGTCAACATGTAACACCATTTCAAACCATCTAGTGCTATAGAAAGGTTCCAGCATTAGCCAGGTCTGATTTTTTTTTTTTTAACTTCTGTTTGAATATTGCTGTTCTTAAAGCAATTTGTACTTAACAGCTTTCTCATTCAGGGGATGAACATTCAGTGTAGTTTAGCACTACACCAAAATATTTTTTAATAGCTGGAATAGTTTGTGTGGGAGTAGAATGATATTTTAGAAATTCTACCCTGGAGGGTTTATAGGCCTGGAGCCAGATAACCTCTGTTTAACAGAAACAGTTTAAAACTAAGAACAGCCCTGGCTCAAGTGCTGCATCTCCAGCCTGGTTAAAGACGCACCAGAGCGATTACTTATCATTGCATTTGCACAGACTAACCCAAACCTCAAAGGCCTGGCAAGGACATTCACACCAGAGAAAGGCTGTTCCCAGCGTCACACAGGAAGGCTGCTCCACCTAGTGCCTCCACAGGGAGGGTGACGTTCTTCCTCTGAACTGTGTCCCCTTCCACTATGAGAAACAGCATTACAAGAACTGATCAATGCCATTTACTTATGAATTCTGCCACCTTCTAAAGCAATCCCCCAGCACATACAAGCATGGTATTTTCACAGTAGTTAAGAAAAAAAAAAAAAAACACCAAACAAAACCACACAATTCACACCCTCACTGGCTGAAATAGCTCTAAGAAAGCTATGTCAAATTTTGTCATGCTCCAGTCTTCCTTCCTTGAGTTACTAGATCAAGGCAAGTAATATAATCAGGGCTATGATTCTTTCAGCTCAGGAAGATCATATGTCAATCACCATGATCATTGGGCCTTTAAGTTTATGATCATTCCTTATCTTGATTTCACCAATTTTCTCACCTTTATAAAATGGTCAGACCTTAATTTAGCAATGGAAAATTTTATTATAAATAGATTTTTCAAAGTTTAATGCATATTCTTAGTGGAAATTCAAGCAATATTAGAACAAGTTCCTTTACAAAGCAAAGTTAGATAAAAAAATAGCAAGGATCCAGGTAAGACCTCATTTTGTTGCCTCTTTTATGAGGCCTTATTTTTAGCAATTTGCTCAGTTTGGTCCCAAGATGTTTCCAGGTCAAAGTCAGAATATTAACTGAAGAACCAAGCTATTTTAACTACTTGAGATTAAGCTTACAGGCCATGTGATTTCTAGGAATCAATGATGAAAGTGAAATACTTTATTTAAAAAGGTAACAAGAGCAGCAGATGAGGAACATCCCACTTTGCATGAATTGCACACTTATCCATATAAAAGACCACGATAGCAGTTACTCAAGAATTAAAATTATATATATCTATTTCTCAAATCACATCCCTGTATCAACAGTAAAAGCACAAGTTTAGGTCTATACTTAGATAGCTCTAAATTCAACCCTGATTCAATTAAAACAGTTCTGCATTAAACATTTTTCTGTCAATTAACATGACAGTGAAGATTGCATCTGAGAGTGAGAAAAAGCTACCAACAGTTTAAGGTCGATAAAACAGCCCAGTAATTGCACACTGATTAATCAAATATTATTCTTTTGCTTTATGAGCTAACAGTACTGGTTTTCTTGAAGAGAATGAAGCATCTTCATACTTCCCCCAGCCTTTACCAAGAGGTGTACCAGTAGTGGCTACTACTGTGGATTTCAGATTAGCCAACAAACCTCTCCTGGGTTTTTGTTGCTTTGGCTCCTCTACAGAGAAATGCTTTTTCTGTTCGTCAAGTTCTTTTTGCAGGGAAGACACCATTTCTTCAAGCTCAAGAACACGTTTAGCCCAGTTCTGAAGACTGTTCATTTCTTGATCCTATGAGGATAAGGCTGTGTTAGGTATGTGAACACTCCAAAGTCTTGTTCATGTAGTTAATTTTCTGTTTCAGATTATTTTACTATACCAGTAAACACCCCTGTTATTACTATGCCAAATGACTATTCGGTACCTATGTATTCTGAATTACTTCTATGTAATTTAGAAAACAGCAAACTACAGGGCCATCAGATCTAGTTAGAGACTAAGTCTGACTAAAGAACCCAAAACTAAAATGCTTAGCCACACTATGCAAAGAATTGCTGTTGTTCTAGGAACCAAATAAAGAAGGCTTTCCTGTCTTAAACTGCAATTACTGAAAGCAAAACTGGTCAAATCAAAACTTATAGTCATTAAGTCTGCTAACCAGGACTAAATAAATGCTTTAAGTGGGCAGAATAGAAAGTCTTAAAGATGCTCTCTAAACCTCATGGTTAACAAAAAGTCACCTTCCCATGTCTTTGAAACAATTAAGAAACAAAGTTCAAGATGACTGATTTTCAGTCTCAGACTAAAAAGCATGCAGAAGTTAATTTAATTTTCAAAGGAAAACTTCACTAAGCAGTCTTATACCTGCCTTGCTTCATTTGCAGATTACAATTGAGGCATAGATGCAAAGTGTCAAGAGTTCAAAATTTTCATGTTTTAATTAGGAATCCAGTTGATATCCGAGGTCAGATACTATCAACTTTATGAAGTCCCTGCTTTTCAAGGAAAGATTTCTTCTATTTCAGTATTAAGTAGTTTACCTGCCTATCTCTCTTATCCAGCTTGGCCACCTCTAAAGGAATGTCAATATAGCTTTAAAGCTATAGATCCTAAGGTCTTGTTGCACTAACGTTTGTGACACAGCTTGCTTGACCTCAGCAAAACACTTCATGACTAGAGTTGTGAATAGTATTTTCTTTGCTTGACAGTCATTTGTGGCATCTTTAGATTAGCAAGAGTTGCCAGAACAGTTACCCTATTGACTAAGTCTATCACTTAAACTGAAAAATTAGTCTTGTCTTACAAGACACAAAGTCAAGGAGTGAAACACAATGGCTCTGAGCTCATAATTCAGGAAGTTAATTCAGAAAGTTAGGGACAGAAAGAAGAAAAGCAAAAAAACCAACTTAAGTAAAACCACTATGCTAACATAGAAGTATTGAATGGTTTGGGTTGGAAGGGACCTTTAGAGGTCATCTAGTCCAATCCCCCAGCAACAAGTAGGGACACGTTTAACTCAATCAGGTTGCTCAGAGTCCCATCCAACCTCACCTTGGATGTTTCCAGGGATGGGGCCTCCACCACCTCCCTGGGCAACGCGTTCCAGTGTTTCACCACCCTCACTGCAAAGAATTTCTTCCTTATATCCAGTCTAAACCTACCCTGTTTTAGTTTAAAACCATTACCCCTTGTCCTGTCACAACTGGCCCTACTAAAAAGATTGTCCCCATCTTTCCTACAGGCCCCCTTTAAGTACTGAAAGGCCGCAATCAGGTCTCCCCACAGCCTTCTCTTCTCCAGGCTGAACAACCCCAACTCTTGCAGCCTGTCCTCATAGAGGTGCTCCAGCCCTCGGATCATTTTTGTAGCCCTCCTCTGAACCTGCTCCAAGAGTTCCATGTCTTCCTGTGCTGAGGGCTCCAGAGCTGGATGCAGTGCTCCAGGTGGGGTCTCACCAGAGCAGAGTAGAGGGGCAGAATGATCTCCCTCAACCTGCTGGCCACACTGCTTTTGACACAGCCTAGGACACAGTTGGCTTTCTGGGCTGCAAGCACACATTGCCCTCATGTCCAGCTTTTCATCCACCAGTACTCCCCCAAGTCCTTCTTTGCAGGGCTGCTCTCAATCCCTTCATCCCCCAGCCTGTATTGATTACCAGGGGTTGCCCTGACCCAGGTGGAGGACCTTGCACGTGGCCATGTTGAACCTCAATGAGGTTCACACAGGCCCACCTCTCCAGCTTGTCCTGGTCCCTATGGATGGCAGTCTTAAGTCCCTTAAGACTGAACAGTGGCTTTACATGTCCAAAGATGGAAAGATCTATAGATACAAGCCACATTAAAGTTGCTTTTAAATTGTTGACAAACCTTGAGCATGATTGCATGCTTTAGTTGAGTGTTTTCTTCTGCCATTTTTCTGTAGCCTTCATTAGCTTCTAGCAAGGTTTCATTTAATTTCTGTATTTTAAACTTCAGGGACTTTATAAGCTGAAAATAAAAACAATACACACTGAAGTTCAAGACAGCATGTTTTACATTGATTTTGTTTATGACTAGAACTCATACAGACACTGAGCATTTCTGTTTAATATTGAAGAGTACAAACTGCAAGATCAAAGCAAAGACGACAAAGCCTGCTTCTCTCATCCTCCTATGTCCAAACCCATCATTTCTGGTGATAAAATAGAGCTGGAGCATTCAGGGA